GGCTTGAGTGATCCTTCTGCCTCAGCCTCCCGAGTAGCTGGGACTACAGGCATGCGCCACCATGCCCGGCTAATTTTTTAAATATATATCAGTTGGCCAATTAATTTCTTTCTATTTATAGTAGAGACGGGGTCTCGCTCTTGCTCAGGCTGGTTTCGAACTCCTGACCTTGAGCGATCCGCCCGCCTCGGCCTCCCAAGAGCTAGGATTACAGGCGTGTCCATGAATATTTTATATGAAGTTTTATTTTATTTTTTGAAACTTTTAAAATTTTTAATTATTATGGATACATAACAGTTATATATCTTTATAGTATACATGTGATGTTCCAATATAGGCATAATGTGAATTAATCAAATCATGGTAATTGGGGTATCTATCGCCTTAGGAATTTATCATTTCTTTGTGTTAGGAGCATTCCAATTTCACTCTTTTAGTCATTTTCAAGTATACTCTAACTTATTGTCGACTATAGTCACCTTTTGTGCTATCAGATATTGTTCACTGTAACTAACCATCCAAATATAGTTCTGTGCCCATTAATGATTGCCATATCTATTAGTCCCTTGTCAGGTGGGGAATTTGCAAATATTTTCTCCCATTTTATGATTATCTCTTTCCTTTGTTGACTGTTTTCTTTGCTGTGCACAAGCTTTTTAGCTTGATGTGATTTCCTTTGTTCAGTTTGCTTTGGTTGCCTGTGCTTTGGGAGCATTACACTAGAAGTCCTTGGCCAGACCAATGTCCTGAACCAATGTTTTCTTTTAATGGTTTCATAGTTTCAGGTCCTACGTTTCAGTTTTTATTTTGATTTGATTTTTGTATATGGCAAGAGATAAGGGTCTAGTTTCATTCCTCTGCATATAGACTATATTTAGAATAGTCCTTGCAACTAGCTTGGATAACATTAAATGGACAACTTATTATAAGACACAAGTATTAGATTTATAGGAAGCCAGAGAATTAAGGCCACTGTCTGGGACTACACACAGGCTCCTCACTAGACCCCTACCGCCACACTGGGCCACTCTTTGGCCTATACCTGGAATGGAGCTTGAACTCCTTCACTAACACTGTGAGTCCCTTGGTCAGGATGTGCAGTGCTTCAGTCATCACACACAGCTGCCTTGAGAGTTATACCCACTCTTAGCCTGCCACTATGCCACAGGTCACTATTTGCAGAACTCTGATCTAGACTATCATATTACTGAAGAGCCTTTAATACAAGAGCCTTGTATTAAAAATGTAAATCTAAAGAAGAAAGAAAAAATAAAGAGAGTAAGAAATTATAATGCACCAAAAATTCTGGTTTTATTGAAGAGAAGCGAAAGAGTCAAGAAATACTGCACATCTGTTCTGAGCTGGGTGCATTGTACCAGGTGGTTTACTTTTATACTCTCACAGATTCTTTTAACAACTTTGTTAGGATACTGTTGCCATCCCAATTTGGAGTGTAAACAATCAATATTATTTTTTAAAAAAAGAATAATTATATTTACCAACCTCACAGAACTGGTGGGGAACTGGGTTTCAATCCCAGGTGTATCTGGCTAGAAAGTCCATGATCTTACTTTCTTGAGTCAACAGACTTGGTTCAAACTGTAGCTCTGCTAATTATTAGTTATATGACTGTGAGGAAGATGCTCTGTGGCTATCTTGTGTTCCAGTGCAGGCTTTGGAAATTGGAAGAAAAAGTGAGTGGCAGCAGGCAGGTGAGACATGCTCTTCATTGTCAGGGGGATACAGCAGCGGTGAAAAGCATGGCTGAGAACATGGCAAACGGTTTTATATGGCTCTTAACAATAGTGGCATCATGCCATGGGAAAGCACAATCACATGGGTTCACACAGGAGATAATACCTTTGTTACATAAGTATGATAAGTATGATGACTCATGCTTCCCCAGAAGGCTAGCTAACGGGGGGGGGGGGGGGGGCTCAGCCAGAAAAAACACTACAGCGGTCATCTTAGTTTGGCCTAAGAAACCTGTTACCTATACGAATACATTTTCCCTTACAATGGTTTTGGTAACTTAATGTCAATATATCTTACTTTATGTGCAAGTAAGAGGTAACACAGAGTTCCTGTCTCAAAAAGTTTATTATCCTCAAAACAAATGAGATAATACATTGGATATCAGAATCCCTGGGGGTGGAGCCCAAACATCTGTGGTTTTTAAAAGCTATAAAAGTGATTCTAACCTATAATCAGGTTATTCTAATATATGAAATATTGACATAATGCTTAACTCAGAATTTGGTATATAGTAAATACTCAGAAATTTTTCATCATTATTATAGTTGTTGTTATCATTACCTTATGGTTGCCATTTCTTGTGATTAATTTTGAGTAAATAACTGATAATTGAGTATAAAATATGGAAAGCAAAGATTACCTTCACTGCCTACTTCCAAATACTTTTGATATTCACCACCACATACTGCATTTCTAAATGGCTAGGAAACATAAAAAATGCATGGGTAAGGAATTATAAAAGATGGTTACTTTTTTAATTTAATGTCATGGAGAAAGTATGCTCTTTATGGTCAGAACATCTAAGATTTGTGTCCCAGCTCCACAGGTTAATAATGGTTCAGGGATTTTAGAGGGCAAGCCACTTAGCTTTTATTAATGTCAATTTCTTCCTGTCTAAAGTTGGGCTAGGCTGGACTTGGTGGCTCATGCCTATAATCCTAGCACTCTGGAAAGCCAAGGAGGGAGGATTGCTTGAGCTCAGAATTCAAGACCAGCCTGAACAAGAGCAAGACCTCATCTCTACTAAAAATAAAAATAAATTAGCCAGTCAACTAAAAATAGAAAGAATTAGCCGGGCATGGTGGCACGTGCCTATAGTCCCAGCTACTTGGGAGGCTGAGGCAGGAGGATTGCTTGAGCCCAGGAGTTTGAGGTTGCTGTGAGCTGGGCTGACACCACAGCACTCTAGTCCAGGCAACAGAGTGAGACTCTGTCTCTAAATAAATAAATAAATAAAGTTGGGCTAAAATAAACTTTTGTTTATGGATGGAGTAGCCAAATAATAAAGAATGTTAAAATACCTGGGAAATTTTCTAGCCACATAGTAGGATGTTAATGATCAATAAATGTTTCATATTATTCCTCATTTCTTTTTTTCCAGCTTCACATATGCATATTATTTCTCCATTAGCTTTTTCCCTGTTTTTATGAATAATCCAAATCCTGAAAGTGTAGTTTGGCTTCCATGCTCACAGGAAATGGATCTGACACTTAGAATCTCAAAAGAAAAAAGGGGATTAATCCCTGTGAGGTTCAAAGGCCATTTGTTCCCTTCATATTGATTTTCTTAAATCAGGCAGTAGCCAAGACCCTAAGAGAAGTAATTAAACTGACAAAGGCAAGTCTAGGTTATTAATAATGGAATAGCCTTGAACATTCTTGATGACTTAATTTAATGACAGAAGGAAGGCCTGAAATTGAAATGCCTGGAGATGGTGTCAATGGTTGGGTCTCTGTGGAGAAAGGAAGACAAGTTATTCCTAAAATCTTCTTTCATGGAACAAAGCATTTTGTTACAAAGCCAGAGAAAATGGTTTTGATTTTCTCTTTTTAATAAAACAAGTTTTAAACCCTTGAAAAATTGCCATTATATTTCCTTTTTGCCCTTACTTTGGGAAGCAAACTTGGTTGGAATTATGGAATTTTAGAACCTTAGCAAGCAACTCAATGGTAAAAATCATTGACATCTTATCTGTTTATTCCCTGGATTCAAGTATTGATTCCATTATCTATTAATGACATAACTTTGAACAAGTTAGGTAACCTCTCTGAGCTTAATTTTTACATATATAAAATGGAGATGTTAATATTTATTTGTTATAGTTATAGGAGAATATTTCAGTATTTTTAAAGTATGAAATCCTTGGCACTTGATATTATTATATATATATATATTATACCTCACACAATAAATAATTGTTGAATGAAATAATACATGAATTTTGATGCTTCCCTCTCTTTCATGGCCTCTGGATAGAAAGACTAGCCTGTGGTAACCTCTTGAAATTTTTCCCTTTTCTCCAGCTATGCTGGCTGCCATGGTTCTAGTCCTCATCATCTCTGCTGTGGACTGTCAGTGGTGTTGAGTGTCTTTTAATCTCAATTCTCTTTCACAATCTCTCTTCCCCTCCTATGACAAAGTTGTTCACTGAAACAAAGGTCTGATCTCTTTTAACTGTACTATACCCCTGGAAAGACATTAGACATCTAGATCACTCTCCTTCCCCATTTTAAAGGTAAGACCCAGAGAGGGGAAGGGATTTATCCAAATACCTATGCCTCTATAAATTATTGCTAAGATTAAGGTTGAGTTCAGTACTCCTTGCCTCTAGCAGAGGATAACAAAGAAGGTTCAAAAAGGACATACATCCTCCAGTTCTAGTCAAAGGGGTTCCAAGTAGTATAGTTGGAGACTTTTAAAAATTACAATTCTGTATTCATTTACTGGATTTTGTTGGATTTAAATGCACTACTGTTACTCTGATGATGTTGTTTATCTCCATGCAAATTATAGGTCAGCCTAGAGAGGGGGCACATTTGATAATAATACTAAAACTTATGTAGTGTTCATTATGTACTAAGTATAGTTTCACATACTGTATGTGTATTAACTTATTTAATTCTTATCAGAACCCTATAGATAGGTACTGTTATTATTCCCATTTTTTCAAATAAGGACACTGAAACACCAAGTTGTTTAATAGCTTGGCAAGGTCACAGAACTTGAAAATGATAGAGTTGGGATTAAAATTCAGGCTTCCAGGTTCAAGTCACTGCTCTGAACTGCTATGCTTAGCTGACAGAAACACATTACATTTCCATGGACACTATTTAGCCTCACCATACAGTTGTCCACTAGTCCATATCACTTCCTTTAACCCTACTTATTGTCTCCTGTCTTAATTATCATGAAGTAGTAACTTGCATAGCCTAGTCTTCTAATGAACTTCTCTTTTCTTTTTTAGAGAGTCATTTTCAACATTGTTAACTTCAGTAAAACCAAGAGTCTTTATAGAGATGGGATGGCCCCTATGGTGAAATCTACAAGCAGGCCAAAATGGTAAGTGATCCACAGAATGGGACCCCTTTCTGAGTAGAAAATTTGACCTGAAGCTCAAGCTTATCAACTATAAAGCTGGGTCTCAGCCTCCCTGCCACTGACAAGAATGAAAATGAGTTTTTGGATAGCCATTTTCTGGGCTCTGGGTGCTATTCTTTGAGAATGTTGGTAATATGGTCCTATGCTTGGAAAGACCAGCATTGTGTTATGAGGGAAGGTACAATTTGTTATTTGGTGAACTTTGCTGTCCTGTTTGCCTTTTATCATGGTATCTTTGGAAACACAATTAAACTTGGTTCTTTCATTTTTCTAGCCTAACAATAGATGATGTACAGTAACATAGGAAGGCATTGAAAACTAGAATCTAGTAGATTTCTCTTGCCTTGCATGGTTTTTGTAGTGTCTTTGTGGATGTTAAAGTTCTATTTGTCCCATTATTTGCTATAATGAAGGGGAAGAGAGTTGGGTAGGATTGGTTAATAGTAATAATAATGATGGTAGTAAGAAGGTTAAAAACAGTAATAGTAATAATCACTCTACTTATTGAGAGTCCCTTTGTGTCAGATGCTTTACAGTTGATGTTACTACTTCCACATTTTTGCAAACGAAGTTTTAAATATCCTTATATTACAGATGAAAAAATGAGAATAGGAAAAGTTAAGTACTTTATCAAGACCATAAATAGTAAGGGGAGGAGCCTATGTTATTTATATTTCCCCATACTGCCTTTCCAGCCAATTCATTCTTTCATCCATTTATTCATTCAAAAACATTGATTGAATGCAACAAAATGATAATTTTTAAAGACAAAACCCAAAGTATTATTCATCTATCACATAGTAGGTGTTAAGTAAATGCTTATTGAATTGAACTGAATTTGTTATGAGAATGTACATGTAAAGTGCCTGGCACTTGGTAAGTGCTCAATAAATGGCATCTATTATTAATAGTATTTTGTAAAGCATTATACAAATGAAAGGAATTGTTAATATTATTCTAGCTTTGATCTCTGTTCAAACTTTAATGACTAATGAGAAAATAGTCTCCAAATATCTGTATTTATAGAAAACTAGCAATTCATAAATATTGAATTGTACTTTTATCTACAAATGATACTTGGCAATTTTCTACATATGCTAATCTGAGAAGCTCAGGTTTATAAAAGTGTAGGTAGTTGATGACGATAATGAAAACTATTTATTAAAAGACAAAAATATCTCCCTGGATATGTTTTTTTTTGTTTTTGTTTTTTGCTTTTCTATACCAAATCAACTAAACTGCTGCTCCTTCTCTGAATCTCCTTTTGACAACAAGATCTGGGCAAGGGTTGGGTTTTGCTTTGAATCTCTCAATGCAGCCCAAGTAGATAATAATAGAACGCATTCCTCTGTGAATAGCCATATGTGTAGGTGAGTACTTCAGACTTTGCAAGTAAAAGTACGTTACTGTTGACTCACTAATGAGGGCCTTCAAAATGACATTGTGCATCTTTTTTTCACATTCTGTATTGGGATCTTCATATAGAAACAATAATCACTATCTCCTTTTCCCAGGTGTTTAGTTCTAATGGCTTCTCTTTTTGTGTGTGTGCTTTTGAAAATCCGTAAGCCTTAATTATTTCATTTTGCTTTATTTCTTTCCTCACAAACTATTAGTTGGTTTTTGTCTGTCAGAGCTCTTGACAAAAGTTTGAAATATTAATGAGTCCTTGAATTGGGATTATAATGCCTTACATTAAGTTAGTGCTCTTAATGTTGGCAGGCTTTCAATAGTAGCCATTATCCAGTCATTGGGCTTTTGTAATGGTCTGAAAGAGCCTAAAGTTTCAGAATTGAGTTTCTTATAGATTATCAAGCCACTTTGGCATAAGGTATTATTTTGTTTATATATTATACCTCTTAAGGATTGTGGTTAGGGTTCTATAGCATCAGGTTCCTCATACTAATGACTCAATGTTTTTTAACAATATCCAAGGCTGAGTTTGCTATGTGCTGGGCACTGCTGGGAACTGGCATCTCAAGACATTTGAGAACTGTATCCTCACCTATGCAGAACTAAGGCTAGGAATACTTACACAATTAAGTGGTGGCACCAACCAGAAACCTCATGACTGCAAGTTCATTGTTCCTCCTATATTCCATGAATGGGGATGATGGGAGGCCTTTGGTAGATCTGAAATAATGTCTTTGATTGGCTTTTCCATTATAGAAGATTGAGAATATTGGACTAGATGTAAGAGATGACTTCCATTTAACACATTTTTATTGAGTTTCTACTCTGTGCTAGATCCTGGAGTGATAAATATAAATCTGACCTGGATGCTATCATTAAAATGTATTATTTAGAGGTTGAAATGAAACACAAACAAAATAGGTTTAATATAAGGGACATTGTGCTAAAAACCAGGAAGGTATGTAAAGCATTCAGTGGTATTAGAGAAGAGGAAGAAAATTATACTATTAGGAATATGGGGGGAAAAGGACACTGTCTATGGAGCAGGTGGTATTTCAGCTAGATCTCAAAGAATGGAACACGAACAAAATTAAGAAAATGGGATACCAAGTGTAAGAAATAACATGATGAGACATGCTATCTCTTTTATGGGCCTCAGTTTCTTCACTATATAAAGTGCATAATAATAATTTCTACAGAGTTGTTAGAAGAAACAAATGTGAAATGGATGTGCAAATACTTTGGAAAGTCTCATGTGTTATTGATTGAACAAATTCCTTGACCATTTATTTACTTTTCCCCTGATTTACTCAAGACAAATTGTATGAGCATTATTTATTTTCTTTCCCCCCCTCCCCTTTCTTTCCTTTCTTCTTTCCATGAATAAATGCTTACTAAGTAGTGAAAATGAACCAGGTACGATGCAAGGCATTAAAATATAATAGTTACCAGAGAGATATGTTTGACATTTATCACCACCTCGATTCAACATAGTGCTGGAAGTCCTAGCTAGAGCAATCAGACAAGAGAAGGAAATCAAGGATATCCAAATGGGGGCACGAAAGGACAAACTATTGCTCTTTGCTGACAATATAATCTTATATCTAGAAAACCCCAAAGATTCTGCCATGACACTACTGGAATTGATAAACAAATTCAGCAACGTTTCAGGTTATGAAATCAATGTACATAAATCAGTAGTATTCATATACAGCAGTAACAGTCAAACTGAGAACCAAATCAAAGACACAGTACCTTTCACAATAACAACAAAGAAAATAAAATACCCAGGAATATATTTAACTAAGGAGGTAAAAGACCTCTACAGAGAGAACTATGAAAAACTGAGGAAGGAAATAACAGAGGACGCAAACAGATGGAAAATCATAACATGCTGGTGGGTCAGGAGAATCAACATTGTTAAAACGTCTATACTACCCAAAGTGATCTATACATTCAATGTAATCTCTATTAAAATACCAACATCATTCTTTACAGATCTAAAAATGTTATTCTACGCTTTGTATGGAACCAGACAAGACCCCCATAAGGTTGCAAAAGCAACCTTAAGCAAAAACAACAGATTGGGAGGCATCAGTTTACCAGACTTCAAGCTATACTACCAGACTTCAAGCTATACTAACCAAAACAGTCTAAGACTGGCACAAGAACAGAGACATAGTTCAATGGAGCAGAACTGAGAACTCAAGTATAAAACCATCCTCATGTTGTCATCTAATTTTTGACAAAGCACAAAAGAATACACTGGAGAAAAGAATCCTGATTCAATAAATGACGCTGGGTAAATTGGATAGTCACATGTATTAGACTGAAACAGGATCTGCATCTCTCACCTCTCACAAAAATCAGCTCACAATGGGTAAGATACTTCAACCTAAGGCATGAAACTATGAGAATTCTAGAAGAAAATATTGGTAAAACTCTTATAACACCGACCTAGGGAATGAATTTATGAAAAAGACCCCAAAGGCAATCACAGCAACAACAAAAATAAATAAATGGGACCTGATCAAATTAAAAAGCTACTGCACAGCCAAGGAAACTATCACAGGAGCAAACAGACCACCTACAGAATGGGAGAAAATATTTGCATGCTACATATCTGATAAAGGGCTGATAAGTAGAATCCATATAGAACTCAGGAAAATGAGCAAGAAAAATCAAACAACCCCATTAAAAAGTGGGCAAAGGACATGAACAGAAACTTTTGAAAAGAAAGCAGACTAATGGCCAAGAAACATATGAAAAAATGTTCAACATCTCTAATCATCAGGGAAATGCATATCAAAACCACAATGAGATATCACTTATTTTCAGTGTGAATAGCCCTTATCAAAAAGTCCCAAAACAACGTTACCATGTGTGTGAAGAGATAGGAACACTCATACACTCGTTGTGGGACTGCAAACTAGTACAACCTCTGTGGAAGGCAATACGGAGATACCTTAAAGCAATACAAGTAGATCTACCATTTGATCCAACACACTGGGCATCTACCCCAAGGAAAAAAAGACATTCTATAAAAAAGACATCTGCACGCAAATGTTTATAGGCAGCACAATTCATAATTGCAAAGATGTGGAAACAACCCAAGTGCCCATCAATCCATGAGTGGATTAATAAAATGTGATATATATATATATATATATATATATATATATATCATGGAGTACTACTCAACCACAAAAAGCAGTGTGATCTAAGCACCTTTTGTATTATCCTCGACAGAGCTGGAGCCCATTCTAAGTGAAGTATCACAAGAAGGGAAAAATAAGCACCACATGTACTCACCATCAAATTGGTATTAATTGATCAACACTTATGTGCATATATGGTAGTGACATTCATCAGGTGTCGGGTTGGTGGGAGGTGGGAGAAGGGCATGGGTATATTCACATCTAATGGATGTGGTGCACACTGCCTGGAGGATTGGTATGCTTGTAGCTCAGACTTGGGTGGGCAAAGGCAATATACATAATCTAAATATTTGTACCTCCATAATATTCTGAATTTAAAATAAAATAAAT